AGAGGGATCTATAGATAGTGTTTTGTATGGAGAGGGATCTCTAGATAGTGTTTTGTATAGAGATGGATCTCTGGATAGTGTTTTGTATAGAGTGATGTCTAGATAGTGTTTTGTATAGAGGGATCTCTAGATAGTGTTTTGTATAGAGGGATCTCTAGATAGTGTTTTCTATAGAGGGATCTCTAGATAGTGTTTTGTATAGAGGGATCTCTAGATAGTGTTTTGTATAGAGTGATGTCTAGATAGTGTTTTGTATAGAGTGATCTCTAGATAGTGTTTTGTATAGAGAGGGATCTCTAGATAGTGTTTTGTATAGAGGGATCTATAGATAGTGTTTTGTATAGAGAGGGATCTCTAGATAGTGTTTTGTATAGAGTGATGTCTAGATAGTGTTTTGTATAGAGGGATCTCTAGATAGTGTTTTGTATAGAGAGGGATCTCTAGATAGTGTTTTGTATAGAGAGGGATCTCTAGATAGTGTTTTGTATAGAGGGATCTCTAGATAGTGTTTTGTATAGAGGGATCTCTAGACAGTGTTTTGTATAGAGTGATGTCTAGATAATGTTTTGTATAGAGGGATCTCTAGATAGTGTTTTGTATAAAGGGATCTCTAGATAGTGTTTTGTATAGAGGGATCTCTAGATAGTGTTTTTTATAGAGAGGGATCTCTAGATAGTGTTTTGTATAGAGAGGGATCTCTAGATAGTGTTTTGTATAGAGTGATCTCTAGATAGTGTTTTGTATAGAGGGATCTCTAGATAGTGTTTTGTATAGAGGGATCTCTAGATAGTGTTTTGTATAGAGGGATCTCTAGATAGTGTTTTGTATAGAGTGATGTCTAGATAGTGTTTTGTATAGAGTGATCTCTAGATAGTGTTTTGTATAGAGGGATATCTAGCTAGTGTTTTGTATAGAGGGATCTCTAGATAGTGTTTTGTATAGAGGGATCTCTAGATAGTGTTTTGTATAGAGGGATCTCTAGATAGTGTTTTGTATAGAGTGATGTCTAGATAGTGTTTTGTAAAGAGGGATCTCTAGATAGTGTTTTGTATAGAGGGATCTCTAGATAGTGTTTTGTATAGAGGGATCTCTAGATAGTGTTTTGTATAGAGAGGGATCTCTAGATAGTGTTTTGTATAGAGATGGATCTCTAGATAGTGTTTTGTATAGATGGATCTCTAGATAGTGTTTTGTATAGAGGGATCTCTAGATAGTGTTTTGTATAGAGTGATGTCTAGATAGTGTTTTGTATAAAGAGTGATCTCTAGATAGTGTTTTGTATAGTGGGATCTCTAGATAGTGTTTTGTATAGAGGGATCTCTAGATAGTGTTTTGTATAGAGAGGGATCTCTAGATAGTGTTTTGTATAGAGGGATCTCTAGATAGTGTTTTGTATAGAGAGGGATCTCTAGATAGTGTTTTGTATAGAGAGGGATCTCTAGATAGTGTTTTGTATAGAGGGATCTCTAGATAGTGTTTTGTATAGAGTGATGTCTATATAGTGTTTTGTATAGAGTGATCTCTAGATAGTGTTTTGTATAGAGAGGGATCTCTAGCTAGTGTTTTGTATAGAGGGATCTCTAGATAGTGTTTTGTATAGAGGGATCTCTAGATAGTGTTTTGTATAGAGGGATCTCTAGATAGTGTTTTGTATAGAGTGATGTCTAGATAGTGTTTTGTAAAGAGGGATCTCTAGATAGTGTTTTGTATAGAGGGATCTCTAGATAGTGTTTTGTATAGAGTGATGTCTAGATAGTGTTTTGTATAGAGAGGGATCTCTAGATAGTGTTTTGTATAGAGGGATCTCTAGATAGTGTTTTGTATAGAGTGATGTCTAGATAGTGTTTTGTATAGAGAGGGATCTCTAGATAGTGTTTTGTATAGAGGGATCTCTAGATAGTGTTTTGTATAGAGTGATCTCTAGATAGTGTTTTGTATAGAGAGGGATCTCTAGATAGTGTTTTGTATAGAGGGATCTCTAGATAGTGTTTTGTATAGAGAGGGATCTCTAGATAGTGTTTTGTATAGAGATGGCTCTCTAGATAGTGTTTTGTATAGAGGGATCTCTAGATAGTGTTTTGTATAGAGGGATCTCTAGCTAGTGTTTTGTATAGAGTGATGTCTAGATAGTGTTTTGTATAGAGAGGGATCTCTATATAATGTTTTGCATAGAGGGATCTCTAGATAGTGTTTTGTATAGAGGGATCTCTAGATAGTGTTTTGTATAGAGTGATGTCTAGATAGTGTTTTGTATAGAGAGGGATCTCTAGATAGTGTTTTGTATAGAGAGGGATCTCTAGATAGTGTTTTGTATAGAGGGATCTCTAGATAGTGTTTTGTATAGAGAGGGATCTCTAGATAGTGTTTTGTATATGAAGCATGGTGAAGCCCCAAAATTGCCCTCGCTAGAAGCCTGTGTTTCAGACATAAGGAAGTGGATGGCTGAAAACTTTTTACTTTTAAACTCGGACAAAACAGAGATGCTTGTTCTAGGTCCCAAGAAACAAAGAGATCTTCTGTTAAATCTGACAATTAATCTTGATGGTTGTAAAGTCGTCTCAAATAAAACTGTGAAGGACCTAGGCGTTACTCTTGACCCTGATCTCTCTTTTGACGAACATATCAAGACTGTTTCAAGGACAGCTTTTTTCCATCTACGTAACATTGCAAAAATCAGAAATTTTCTGTCCAAAAATGATGCAGAAAAATTAATCCATGCATTTGTTACTTCTAGGTTAGACTACTGCAATGCTCTATTTTCCGGCTACCCGGATAAAGCACTAAATAAACTTCAGTTAGTGCTAAATACGGCTGCTAGAATCCTGACTAGAACCAAGAAATTTGATCATATTACTCCAGTGCTAGCTTCCCTACACTGGCTTCCTGTTAAGGCAAGGGCTGATTTCAAGGTTTTACTGTTAACCTATAAAGCGTTACATGGGCTTGCTCCTACCTATCTTTCCGAGTTGGTCCTGCCGTACATACCAATACGTACGCTACGGTCACAAGACGCAGGCCTCCTAATTGTCCCTAGAATTTCTAAGCAAACAGCGGGAGGCAGGGCTTTCTCCTATAGATCTCCATTTTTATGGAACAGTCTGCCTACCCATGTGAGAGACGCAGACTCGGTCTCAACCTTTAAGTCTTTACTGAAGACTTATCTCTTCAGTAGGTCATATGATTGAGTGTAGTCTGGCCCAGGAGTGTGAAGGTGAACGGAAAGGCTGGAGCAACGAACAGCCGTTGCTGTCTCTGCCAGGCCGGTTCCCCTCTCCACTGGGGTTCTCTGCCTCTAACCCTGTTGCAGGGGCTGAGTCACTGGCTTGCTGGTGCTCTTTCATGCCGTCCCTGGGAGGGGTGCGTCACTTGAGTGGGTTGAGTTACTGACGTGATCTTCCTGTCTGGGTTGGCGCCCCCCCCCCTGGTTTGTGCTGTGGTGGAGACCTCTGTGGGCTATACTCGGCCTTGTCTCAGGATTGTAAGTTGGTGGTTGGGGATATCCCTCTAGTGGTGCGGGGGCTGTGCTTTGGCGGAGTGGGTGGGGTTATATCCTTCCTGTTTGGCCCTGTCCGGGGGTTTCTTCGGATGGGGCCACAGTGTCTCCGGACCGCTCCTGTCTCAGCCTCCAGTATTTATGCTGCAGTAGTTTATGTGTCGGGGGGGCTGGGGTTAGTTGGTTATACCTGGAGTACTTCTCCTGTCTTATCCAGTGTCCTGTGTGAATTTAAGTATGCTCTCTCTAATTCTCTCGTTCTCTCTTTCTCTCTGAGAACCTGAGCCCTAGGACCATACGTCAGGACTACCGGGCATGATGACACCTTGCTGTCCCCAGTCCGCCTGGCCTTGCTGCTATTCCAGTTTCAACTGTTCTGCCTGCGGCTACGAAACCCCTACCTGTCCCAGACCTGCTGTTTTCAACTCTTAATGATCGGCTATGAAAAGCCAACTGAGAGACCTGAGCCCTAGGACCATACGTCGGGACTACCGGCCGTGGTGACTCCTTGCTGTCCCCAGTCCGCCTGGCCTTGCTGCTATTCCAGTTTCAACTGTTCTGCCTGCGGTTATGGAACCCCTACCTGTCCCAGACCTGCTGTTTTCAACTCTTAATGATCGGCTATGAAAAGCCAACTGAGATTTATTCCTGATTATTATTTGACCATGCTTGTCACTTATGAACATTTTTGAACATCTTGGCATGGTTCTGTTATAATCTCCACCCGGCACAGCCAGAAGAGGACTGGCCACCCCTCATAGCCTGGTTCCTCTCTAGGTTTCTTCCTAGGTTTTGCCTTTCTAGGGAGTTTTTCCTAGCCACCGTGCTTCTACACCTGCATTACTAGCTGTTTGGGGTTTTAGGCTGGGTTTCTGTACAGCACTTCGAGATATTAGCTGATGTAAGAAGGGCTATATAAAATAAAATTGATTGTATAGAGGGATCTCTAGATAGTGTTTTGTATAGAGAGGGATCTCTAGATAGTGTTTTGTATAGAGGGATCTCTAGATAGTGTTTTGTATAGAGAGGGATCTCTAGATAGTGTTTTGTATAGAGATGGATCTCTAGATAGTGTTTTGTATAGAGGGATCTCTAGATAGTGTTTTGTATAGAGGGATCTCTAGATAGTGTTTTGTATAGAGTGATGTCTAGATAGTGTTTTGTATAGAGTGATCTCTAGATAGTGTTTTGTATAGAGGGATCTCTAGCTAGTGTTTTAATAATAATAATATGCCATTTAGCAGACGCTTTTATCCAAAGCGACTTACAGTCATGCGTGCATACATATTTATTTTTTTGTGTATGGGTGGTCCCGGGGATCGAACCCACTACCTTAGCGTTACAAGCGCCGTGCTCTACCAGCTGAGCTACAGAGGATCTCTAGATAGTGTTTTGTATAGCGGGATCATTGGTTGACTGCTGAGTAGCAGTAATATCATTGGTCAACTGCTGGGTAGCTGTAATATCATTGGTCAACTGCTGGGTAGCTGTAATACTGTATCATTGGTCAACTGCTGGGTAGCTGTAATACTGTATCACTGGTCAACTGCTAGGAAGAGAGAGGGAGAGAGAGAGAGAGAGAGAGAGAGAGAGAGAGAGAGAGGATACAACATAGCGCAGGTATTTCCTCTTCTTTACCTCATATTCCACATACTCCTCCTCCTCCACCTCGTAGGAGACAGTCTGTATCTTGACGTTGTCTCCGTCCTCCAGCAGCTTGGCCTGAGGGTCCTCCGTGCTGCCGGGGGTCTCCCTCTCCTCTTCTTTCTTCTCTGTGAAGGTAGTCTCGCAGCACTCACTCTTAGAATCCATGGCCTTGGCACCTCCGCCGCTGCTGCCTCCCCCTTCCTCCTTGTACAGGATGAAGGTAGGTCTGTAGAAGGCCTCGACGGCCAGATGGAGGGAGGTGGCATCGAGGAGTTGTTGGGCTTTCGTCTTGCCGTTGGGGTTGTTGTGTCCCACATGGGCCACCGTACCGTTGTTAGTGTAACCTCCACCTCCTCCTCCGTCGTTGCCGCCGGTTATGAAGTAGTTGATGATGTTCTCCTGGTACTGGTTGTTAGGGAAGTCACCGCCATAACCGTTGACGACGTGCCTGCTGTTCTTGTCCAGTAGCGGGTTCTGGAGCTCACTCAGGCTCTCCATGGCAACGAGGGTTCAGGGGTCAGTGGAAGTGGCTTAAGAGGACCTCACTGAAGGTGGCAGCTACTGATGGTGCTCAACAGGATGAGAGCTGCAGAGAGGAGAGGAAATAAGAGAAGAGGCATTAGTAAACTCAGTTTTCCGTCTCAGTGAAGCAGTGGTGTAAACACAATACACTGGGCAACTGAGAGACAACATGGCATTTAACACTTCCAGAAGAATTTAATCAAGTTGTTAGACATATATCTAACACCTACCAGTAGGCTAAGGTTTAGCTAGGGTGTTGTGGACTGTAGGCTTTAGTTTAGCTAGGGTGGAAGGTAGGCTTGAGTTTAGCTAGGGTGGAAGGTAGGCTTGGGGTTTAGCTAGGGCGTTCTGGACAGTAAGCTTGTGTTTACCTAGGGTGTTGCGGACGGTAGGCTTGGGTTTAGCTAAGGTATTGTTGACGGTAGGCTAGGATTTAGCTAGGGAGCTGTGGAGGTAAGCTTGGCTTTAGCACGGGTGTTGTGGACATTAGGCTTGGCTTTAGCTAAGGAGCTGTGGATGGTAGGCTAAGATTTAGCTAGGGTGTTGTGGACCATAGACTAGGGTATAGCTAGGGCTTTGTAGATGGTAAGCTAGGTTTTAGCTAGGGAGCTGTGGACCATAGACTAGGGTATATAGCTAGGGTTTGTGGACTGTAGGCTTGGGTTTAGCTAGGGAGCTGTGGACAGGAGGATTTTAGGTCCCCACAAGGATAGAAGAACCAAAACAACCCCCCCCCCCCCCCCCCCCCCCCCCCCCCCACACACACACACACACAGACACACACACACACCCACACACACAGAGACACACACACACAGACACACACACAGACACACACACCACACACACACACACACCACACACACACACACACACACAGACACACACACACACACAGACACACACACACACACACACACACACACACACACACAGACACACACACACACACACACAGACACACACAGACACACACACACACACACACACGTACACAAACACAAACACAAAGCCCATCTTCTGGAACCTGCTTAATCTGCATGCTCTGTAGATAATACAGACATTTTAATTAAACACTAGGGCAAGGTGTGTGTGTGTGTTCCTCTCTTGTGTGGCTGTGTATGTGTGTGCGCTTGTGTGTGTGCCTCCCTCCCCACAGATACTGGTGCATTCATTGTCGAAGGCTTGTTTAGCCTCCCTGCAAAACAGAGAGAAAAATAAAACACAAAGAAGAAAGAGGAGGATGGATGGATGGATGGATGGATGGATGGATGGATGGATGGATGGATGGATGCTATCACTCACTGAGGCTTTCTGCCTGAAGCCTCCAATAGGGTTTGGCTGAAGCAGATACCTTCTTACGCCACAGACGCTGTCCTAGAGCAAGTGTACTAGCGCTAGTGTTCTACTAGCTAGATAGCTAGCGTTGTACTAGCTAGTTAGTGTGTACTAGCTAATGTGTACTAGCTAGTTTGTAGTAGAGCTAGTGTGTACTAGCTAGCTAGCTAGCTAGTGTCGTACTAGCTAGTTAGTGTGTACTAGCTAGTTTTGTACTAGCTAGTTTGTGTGCACTAGCTAGTGTGTACCTGCTAGTGTGTACTAGCTAGTTAGTGTACTAGAGCTAGTGTGTACTAGCTAGCTAGTTAGTGTTGTACTAGCTAGTTAGTGTGTACTAGTTAGTGTGTACTAAAGCTAGTGTGTACTAGCTAACTAGCTAGTGTTGTACTAGCTAGTGTGTACTAGCTAGCTAGTTAGTGTTGTACTAGCTAGTTAGTGTGTACTAGTTAGTGTGTACTAGAGCTAGTGTGAACTAGCTAGTTTTGTACTAGCCAGTTAGTGTTTACTAGCTAGCTAGCTACACAAGCAACAGTGGTTAACATAATGCCCTGGACCAGAGTTTGTGCGCCAACTGGTATGTGCGTAGCACATTGACGCCCTGGAACAAAGCTACTGACTCACGTGATACAGGAGACCAACAAATGTCTGCAGGTTGCGCGCACACATCTGAGAAGCTAAAATACCATCTAAGACGCTAAAATACTATCTGAGAAGCTAAAATACCATCGGAGAAGCTAAAATACCATCTAAGACGCTAAAATACCATCTGAGAAGCTAAAATACCATCTGAGAAGCTAAAATACCATCTGAGAAGCTAAAATATCATCTGAGAAGCTAAAATACCATTTGAGAAGCTAAAATACCATCTGAGTAGCAAGCGCATGCACTTTGAGGTTCGCAGACCACAAAACCTCTAGCAACACACACACACACACACACACACACACACACACACACACACACACACGCCAAGCTCATCATCAGAGTAGATGAAACTCGACCACACCAGCAGATCGGATCATCAGGATCATGGGTAAAGTCTACACCTGTTGTAGACATTAGATTTGATCATTAGGATGAGGATGGTTCACCCAGGCACACACATACATTAAAGTTGTCCGTAAATGTATTCAGTACAGGTAACTGCCAAAATAAAGGAAACGCTTGAGTAAATAAGGTATACAAAGTATATTGAAAGCATGTGCTTCCACACAGGTGTGGTTCCTGAGTGTATTAAGCAATTAACTTCCCATTACGCTTAGGACAAATTCAGGTAGGTCCCTTCCAGTTTCGTTCTGTTTGCTTTCGTTTGGTTCTTAAACGGTAAATGGTTTCAGTTATGAATACACCTCAGATCTCAACCCAATTGAACACTTACGGGAGATTCTGGAGCGGTGCCTGAGACAGCGTTTTCCACCACAAACAAAAAAAACGAATTATGGAATTTCTCATGGAAGAATGGTGTTGCATCCCTCCAATAGAGTTCCAGACACTTGTAGAATCTGTGCCAATGTGCATTGAAGCTGTTCTGGCGGCTCGTGGTGGCCCAAAAACCCTACTAAGACACTTTATGTTGGTGTTTCCGTTATTTTGACAGTTACATGTATATGATTTACAATTATGTCTGGGTCTCTGGGTCTCTGTCTATAGGATTTAATGTGTGTATATTTTATTTTGTATGTGTCTGTGTGTTGTACCTCTTATAACCTTCATCAGATGAATCTGTGATTATAATTTAGATCGTCATTATGGTGGGAATGGTTCTTCCAGGCACATACATGGTCCTGTCTGGGTTAGGGTTAGGGTTAGTATAATAAAGATCATCATTATGGTGGTGTGGTTGGTTCATTCAGGCACATACACTGACCTTACAAAATATTAGGAACACCTTCCTAATATTGATTTGCACCCCCTTTTGCCCTCAGAACAGCCTCAATTTGTCGGGGGCATGGACTCTACAAGGTGTCGAAAGTGTTCCACAGGGATGCTGGTCCATGTTGACTCCAATGCTTCCCACAGTTGCGTCAAGTTGGCTGGATGTCCTTTGGGTGGTGGACCATTCTTGATACACACGGGAAACTGTTGAGCGTGAAAAACCCGCCAGCGATGCATTTATTTTATAAAACATTTTATAGTGGGTAGATCAGCTTTAATATTACAGATAGATTGCAGCTTCCATCAATGTAATTGTCTGCATCATTTCCAATCCCCAATATATATATTTTTGTAAATATAATATATATGCATATGTACAGTGAGGGAAAAAATATTTGATCCCCTGCTGATTTTGCACGTTTGCCCACTGACAAAGAAAATGATCAGTCTATAATTTTAATGGTAGGTTTATTTGAACAGTGAGAGACAGAAATTATCCTCTGTAGCTCAGTTGGTAGAGCATGGCGCTTGTAACGCCAGGGTAGTGGGTTCGATCACCAGGACCACCCATACGTAAAAATGTATGCACACATGACTGTAAGTCGCTTTGGATAAAAGCGTCTGCTAAATGGCATATTATTATTAGAATAACAACAAAGAAATCCAGAAAAACGCATGTAAAAAATGTTATAATTTGATTTGCATTTTAATGAGGGAAATAAGTATTTGACCCCCTCTCAATCAAAAGATTTCTGGCTCCCTGGTGTCTTTATACAGGTAACGAGCTGAGATTATGAGCACACTCTTAAAGGGAGTGCTACTAATCTCAGCTTGTTACCTGTATAAAAGACACCTGTTCACAGAAGCAATCAATCAATCACATTCCAAACTCTCCACCATGGCCAAGACCAAAGAGCTCTCCAAGGATGTCAGGGACAAGATTGTAGACCTACACAAGGCTGGAATGGGCTACAAGAGCATCGCCAAGCAGCTTGGTGAGAAGGTGACAACAGTTGGTGCGATTATTCGCAAATGGAAGAAACACAAAAGAACTGTAAATTTCCCTCGGCCTGGGGCTCCATGCAAGATCTCACCTCGTGGAGTTGCAATGATCATGAGAACGGTGAGGAATCAGCCCAGAACTACGCGGGAGGATCTTATCAATGATCTCAAGGCAGCTGGGACCATAGTCACCACGAAAACTATTGGTAACACACTACACCGTGAAGGACTGAAATCCTGCAGCGCCCGCAAGGTCCCCCTGCTCAAGAAAGCACATATACAGGGCCGTCTGAAGTTTGTAATGAACATCTGAATGATTCAGAGGAGAACTGGGTGAAAGTGTTGCGGTCAGATGAGATCAAAATCGAGCTCTTTGCCATCAACTCAACTCGCCGTGTTTGGAGGAGGAGGAAGGCTGCCTATGACCCCAAGAACACCACCCCCACCGTCAAACATGGAGGTGGAAACATTATGCTTTGGGGGTGTTTTTCTGCTAAGGGGACAGGATAACTTCACCGCATCAAAGGGACGATGGACGGGGCCATGTACCGTCAAATCTTGGGTGAGAACCTCCTTCCCTCAGCCAGGGCATTGAAAATGGGTTGTGGATGGGTATTCCAGCATGACAATGACCCAAAACACACGGCCAAGGCAACAAAGGAGTGGCTCAAGAAGAAGCATATTAAGGTCCTGGAGTGGCCTACCCAGTCTCCAGACCTTAATCCCATAGAAAATATGTGGAGGGAGCTGAAGGTTCGAGTTGCCAAACG